TTTTATCATCAGTCGATGGAAAGCAGATGCAAAATAGCCTTTTGGCTAATTCTGGCACTTTGCACATTTCTGTATTAATAATTCAGTGTTATTGTCCCTGCCAAATAATCTATAAAATAGTGACTATATGAATATAGTGACTCAATTTTGACCTATTCATTAGCGATAATTATGAAGCACTTTTTACTATTATTCTAACACACACACACACACAAAAAGATATGGACACTTAACCTTGGGTTCATCACTTTGAACAGTGGAGGTTTTGTCATAGTTGGCATTGTGAATGGCTGAATATTAAGATGACTGGCAGAGCCTTGACATGCCAGAACAGTCCCTGAATTGAAGGCACAGTTCTGTCACGTCCTTGTCATTCATAGACGATGAATCAACATATGTATATTATCCCCTTGAATTTTGTTTTATGCTTCTAGGGTGAATTTTAAAGGTCGCACGGAAACCAAGGAAACTATAAATCATGTAACCCGTGCAGCGCTTTTGCTAAATCACCTCGCACAGCTCGGTGTTCTCATAAATAAAAAGGTAATCGAAGGTTCCAGATTACAGATGCCCTAATAGGATACAAGCACACAGACATTCACACAATCATGCACGCACCTGTGGAGTATCAGGAATAGCAAGGGGCTGCAGACGTCCTGGAGCCAGGGGTCCCAAAGTAAATGTAATGAATGGATTCAAAGGGTTTCTAGTACGGTTAAAATTACCATGCACATCTAAATAAATTGTACTTTTGGAGTGTTCTATCAGGCAATTTAATCTGTTTTTAACGTTCTATTATGTTATCTATAGCTATAGCTATCCATATGTAGCCTTCTATAATTTTTCTAATACTCTATCTAGCTTTTTAATCCATCTAATGTTTCAGCTGGTGTTCTGTTTATCGTTTGCTTTATCTAGTCTTTTATACACTGTAAGAAAAAAAATCGTAAAAAAAAGGTCAAATGACTGGCAGCTACGGCTGCCAAACAAAAACCATAAAATTACGGTCTTTGTTGAAATAAAGTGCAAAAAATAATAAATCTACAGATATTTTCATTAAAATGATTACAGAAAAACACTGTTATTTTACAGGATTTTCCTAGATTACAATCAAAGCCGTTCAATAAAGGTATACACTAAGAGTTTTACAAAGAAACACTGTTATTATACAGACTTCTCCTAGATTATTATGATCAAACATCATCAATAAAGTGACTACACTAAAAGTTCAAGAGAAAACAATTTTTTTTTAAAGAATTTTCCATAAATCATTACGGTTAAACACCTTTAATAACATGCCAAGACATGCTCATGATCGTAATTTAACAGTTTTATTTTGGATCAAAAAATTTTGGAAAAAACCACAAACGAGATACAACTGATTAAAATTCTCACAATTTTAAAATTACAGTTGTTACATTTTATTGAATAGTGTTTATGTAAATCATGTAGAGGTTTAGGTTATATGGAATGATTCAGTTACAGATCTTAAATGAAATGGAACTGTAACATGAAGGGGACGTTGACAAATGAGTGCAGATCCAAAGGTAAGCAACAGTCAACACAGGGACAAACAGATGTAACATTTTGCAGGGAATCCAGAGTCATGGTCAAATAACAGGCAAATGGTCAGTCCCGGCAGCAAATCATGTAAACAATTAACAGACAAAGCAAGGCAAAAGAAGAGAAACGCGTCATAATGTTCACAGTAGCAATATAACAAGACTAAGCAATTGGTGTTTGCGTCTGTGCTGCTTTTAAAGTGCATGTAATCAGTTCATAACGATCCTCCGACTGTGTGTGTGCAATCAGCGGAATCTGAAACAGGTGTATGTGAGCACTCTTAGTGTGTTACTTTATTTAATGGATTAGATCGTAATAATCTAGGAAAAGTCTGTAAATAACAGTGTTTCTCAGTAAAAATTTTAATGAAAATATCTGTAGATTTATTATTTTTTGCACTTTTTTTTTCAACAAAGAAATTTTACCTTAGTTTTATGGTTTTTGTTTGGCAGCCGTAGCTGCCAGTCATTTGACCTTTTTTTTTAACGATTTTATTACATTTTTTTACAGAGCAAGTAATTACAATTTATTAATTTAATTTTTTGTAATTTTAAATGTACTTAAAAAACAGGAAAAAAACACTGTAAATAATATGTCAATTTTTTTGTAAAAAAACAGACAAATTGCTGTAATTTGTCATTACTTATATAGTACATAAAATAACAGTCAAGCCGTTTACTGAAATTTACTGATAATGTTTGTAATATTTACGAACTTTTGAATATAATTTAAAATAACAGAAAAGATACTCTGTAAATAATACTGTAATTGTCATTTTACTAAGTTTTGAATATAATGTGAAATGACAAAAAAATACTGTAAAAAAATTAAGGATATTTTCTGTAAAATTAAATTTTTTTTTTTACAGTGTATCTATACATCTGCTCTTTCTAGCCTTCTATCTTACATTTGCAGTGCTGTATTTACCTGACTAGTACTAGTTGTAGCATTCTTTCTGTTTAGCATTATATTTATCATTATTTTTATTTACACTGTAAGCGGGCAACATGGTGGCTCAGTGGTTAGCACTCACTTCAAGAAGGTCGCTGATTCGAGTCCCGGCTGGGTCAATTTGCATTTCTGTGTGGAACTAGCATGTTTTCCCTGTGTTAGCGAGGGTTTCCTCCGGCTGCTCCGGTTTCCCCCACAGTCCAAAGACATGTGATGTAGCTGAATTGAATAAACTAAATTATCCGTAGTGTATGTGTGGGTGTGTGAATGAGTGTGTATGGATGTTTCTCAGTACGGGGTTGCAGCTGGAAGGGCATCTGCTGTGTAAAACATATGCTGGATAAGTTGGCGGTTCATTCCGCTGTGGTGACCCCTGAGAACAAGAGTAATCTTGACAAACCATATATCAGTATGAAGCTACAAGCCTCAAACAGCGATTGCAGCTAGTTGTTTTTCAGTGGGAAGCTTTTAAAGAATGTATTTGCTAAATTTGTATAAGTTGAACAGTACATGCAGTACATAATGACACAATAGTGTTGAATTATGGACGGTTACTCATTTGTTTAAGTCACCATTTCTCCAGGAGACCTAATGTTATTGTTTACATTGTTTACGATGTTACTTGTGTGCAGAAACAGTGTCATTGTAGTAAAAAGCATTTTGTGATTCACAAGTGTCTTCCGTTTATTTACGGTTGTGAATATGGCACGTTGAGCTCTGCTCTGTCAACTTTTGATGGTAAAAATATAACTCTACAGTTTAATAAAGTGACCTTTATTGACATTTTAGTAGTTTAAAATAATACAATGTATTAAAAAAATAATAAATTAGAGATGCCCAAACTAGGGCCTGCAAGCCAAAGTTGGCCTTTGGTAACCTTTGATTTGGCTCACCATCCCACATGAGAAGAGAGTGAGAATGATGGGGAGGGTTGAGGCGAATGCCTTTACAGAAATCGTAGTTTCGAGCAAATCAAGGCAAAAAACAGGTGCAGTTTAACTAGTGTAACTTATTAATTGTTTTTTTTTTTTTTTTATTGTATTAAGTTCATTTAAAAAATATAAAAAATATATACTACATAAATTCATATAAAGCAGTGTTTTCTAATTATTTGTGAATATTAAATAAATTAGGAAATCACAGATTTCACAAAATCTGCAAAATAATTGGTATATTCACCTAAGGCCCACCAACCTCAATCAAGTTTGGTTTTCGGCCCTTCATATAAAAAAAGTTTGAGCAGCCCTGCAATAATTAGAGAAATGAGTGTTATTCGATGAGTGTTAATCGATGGTTCCAGATTACAGATGCCCTAATCGGATACAAGCACAAAGACACTCACACACACATGCACGCACCTGTGAAGTATCAGGAATAGCTAGGAGCTGCAGACGTCCTGGAGCCAGGGGTCCCAAAGTCAATGTAATGAATGGATTCAAAGGGTTTCTAGTACGGTTAAAATTACCATGCACATCTAAATAAATAGTTCTACTTTTGGAGTGTTCATGCCTTTACAGAGATCGTAATTTCGAGCAAATCAAGGCAAAAAACAGGTGCAGTTTGACTAGTGTAACTTATTAATTGAATTGTTTTTTATTGTAATAAGTTCATTACAAAATATAAAAAACATATACTACATTAGTTAATATGAAGCAGTGTTTTCTAGTTATTTGTGAATATTAAATAAATTAGGAAATCACCGATGGCAACTGTTGCATAGTTGCCACAAAATCTGCAAAATAATTGGTATATTCACCTAAGGCCCACCAACCTCAATCAAGTTTGGTTTTCGGCCCTTCATATAAAAAAAGTTTGAGCACCCCTGTAATAATTAGAGAAATAAGTGCATGTGATATACAACCCTTCAAAAGTCCATAAAAAAGATAACTCTGAGACAGTTTGGCGGGGGCAATTGTGAAGTGAAAGGGTGGGAGAGGGCTCAATCAGCTGATTCAACTAATGAAGGTGTTCTTGACTCTTCTGAACACCTCAATTATTTGGGTCATCTGTGTTTGATCATGGTTGGAGCAAAACTGTGCAGAGCTGTGGCACGCCAGGAATTGAGTTTGAGACATATGGTCTACAGTATTTATTGTACATTGTTCATACTATATTTTTTGCTTTTAATTATTAATAATAAATAATAATAAAAACTTGAAAGGAAAGCTTAATATTCACCTAAAGTATCTGTTACTGTATTAAAACTTAGATAAAGGAATCAAATCTTTAGGGGTTTAAAGTGACGTAATGAATTGGAGTTATAGTTATTCCACACTAACTGGACATATATCGTTCTTCCACATTAAAGACATATAACTTATACACAATAACATTTCATTTTTAATACTGAAACTGAAACATGTCATCTTCTGAGAATTGAGGGGCTCTTGTTGTCTATCTTCAAGTGAAATAAAAATATATAGTATAATGTTCCCAATCCAAATGGAAAAAAAAATCCTATTACTCAAATTTTGAAAATATGGTGTAACCCAGCTCACTGACTAGGTCACTAAAACAAATTATAAATAGTTTATTTTAAATTATAACATTTTATTTTATGATTGTGAGGAGAAATATTAAATAGTTCATTTATATTTTATACATAGTGTTTAAATAATAATAAATAGAGAATAAAGTAAGTTTTGACTTGGTGGAGGTCGGAGGTTAGCTCCGCCCCCTTGCGTGTGTGTGAGAGCTGCCGGTGACGGAGAGTCACTTTGATTAATCAGCGCGAGCAGATTGAACAACATTAGACACTGTGAAACAGAAGTTTAGATAATCCAAACGATCTAAAAATCATATTGTTTCGGTGATTGACTGAGAAAAGCCCTAAAGTTTCAGATTTTAAGGATAGGAAGCTGACAACAAGCAATAGAAACGAGAGAAGTGCGAGCGGAGCATATTAATGCGATCGAGAGAATAGAAAACTTATATTTGATCGAAACACATTCTTCTTTATTCTCCCTGTTCATCTTTATCTTTCCTTGGTGAGTAAGAGATCATTATTATTAGCTGTTAATTGGTTTTGACATGTTTTTGTAGCTGTTTAGAATAGAAAGCAAGCATGATTTATTTAAAAATGTTTATCTGGAGTTTATTTTATTACCACATAATTGTAAATATTGTTTATGCACTTCGAAAATGTGCATTGGTTGAATTTGCTTTTATTTGACTTTATTTCTCATTGAAAATGTATTGCATGTGACGCTAGCTTTGCTAGCCGTGTACATTGACTTAAATGTATTCAGTGAGAACATGTGACTGACTAGCATGTATGTTATCTATGCTGAAATGAGTGACACAGACAATGTGTTTTATTTAAACATGTTTATTGAGTTATTAATCCTTGTTTCTCTTTTGGCTTTGTGTTTTATCAAGGCCGGGTTTTTTTGTGTGTGTGCGTGTGTTCCCCTTTCGTTTCTGCTACAATATCCCGATCTGTCCCTGCCGTGGATGCTTTCTCGGCGGTCCGGACATGGCGAGCCGCTCTTTTGAAAGATCGTGCCTGGAAGTAAATTAATCTGTTGCTCATTGAACTGGTAGGACAAAACATTCTTGCACTTTCACTGCGCTCATATTTTTGTTTTTATTCAATTTTGGATTTTTTCTCTATCTGGACTGATTTTTTGGATTTTTCACATCGAACTGGAGCTAAAAGAACTTTTGAGTGTTGAACATTGAACTTGGACTCTGAATTACTACTTTTATTCAATCTTTTCCTTCGTTTTTTTTATTTTTCTTCCTCATTGTATACGATTTGTGAAACTGAATTTGTCTGAAGTGAGATTATCATCTGAAGTGTGGTGATTTCATTATATCTTTTATTGTTTTATTCTAGTATTCACCAAACTGAACTGTTTTGACATTTATTTATTTGTTTTATTTTGTTTTCCTCCTCCAACTTGTTTAAACAATATACTTACCTCAGTTATTCAACTTTATTTTTGAGTCTGACTTATTTGACTATCTAAAACTGGTTGTTATTTCTATACACTCTTGCGAGCGAATTAAAATCTTCTGACATCTGGTCCTAATAAGAAAATAGCAAATACTGTAAAAATAACACAATAGAAAACGCATCAATAACACATAGATAAGGGTTACAGAAAAGTTGGCGAGCCAGCCAGGAGTGTAAATAGCTAAATTTCAACCGTTTTAATTATCATTTATTGCACTTTAGCATTTAAAATAAATAGAAATGGAAATTGTCAAGCGTGAAAATATTGAGATTCAGAATTCTGTTATTGTCAGTGGCTTAACACTCTCTGCTCTAGATGAAGAGTTAGAAGATTATCTGAAAAGATATGGATCAGTCAAACGTAGCTTGCTTATTGATAATCCAGAATCAGAATATCATCATAATACAATTGTGGAGTTCGACTGTGATACTGCAATGAGTAATTTGGAGCCCTCTCTCCCTATGGATATCCAAAGTACACAGGATTCAAATTCTGTCTTTCATGTTCGCAGCCTAGGGAGCGTGTATGCCTCTGCAGCCAGCAGCAGTCTAACTGAAGGTTACTTGGAGAGTCTGGTAGCCATTGCCCAAGCCAGCGGAAAGCCTCTGCAGGATGTTCTACAAATGGAGCTGCAAAAGATGAATGCTTTGAAGCTTCCAGCATCTGACTCCCCTAGACCTGATACACCTGTGCAAATGATTCCAGAACCTGAAAACCCTGTCAAGGAAAGCACACCAGATAAGTCACCCTACTATTCTATAAGCAACAATGCTAGTACTGCAGACACCATATCCTTGAATCTACCTACAAGTGCTCTGAATCCCCCTGGCATTCAACGAGTAGTCTTAGAACATGTTGTGAAAACCAGTGATGCCGTTTCTTCTTCAAATGCTGCTTACCGTCTCAAAGCCTTCTCAGGAAGAAGCCCAAGACAGAACACTGAACCAGATTTTGAAACTTGGAGGGCCAGCATTGACTTTCTGATTAATGACCAGTCCCTTTCTGATTCGCACAAAACCCGAAAAATTCTTGACAGTCTGCTGCCCCCAGCCTCAGATGTTGTCCGGCATGTTGGTCCAGATGTTTCACCAACCAAATGCCTTGAACTTTTAGAATCTGTGTATGGCTCAGTGGAGGATGCTGATGAGCTGCTAGTGAAGTTTATAAGCACTCTGCAGAACCAGGGAGAAAAACCGTCAGCCTACCTGCATCGTCTTCATGTAATGTTAAGCGCTACAATCCGACGAGGTGGTGTTACAGAGGCTGAACGCAAAGGCTATCTTCTCAAACAATTCTGTCGTGGCTGCTGGGACAACAATTTGATTTCAGATCTGCAGCTGGAGCGAAGAAAAGCCGCACCCCCCTCTTTTGCTGAACTCATCGTACTCATCCGTACTGCAGAAGACAAACTGTTGTTAAAAGAAGAAAGAATGAAAAAACATCTTGGAATAAATAAGCATGTTTCTGTTCCAGTCAAGTTCCGAACAGCCACTCACCAACAGTCTGTCTATTATGCTGATGCAATTGATGAGCCCAGAGTTGAGAACAATCATGAGAGTCTGAGGCAGAAGTCAGCTAAGCCTAAAAGTAAGTCTGATCAGTCTGAATTGGATGCACTAAAGAAAGAAGTCGCAAAGCTGCAGGCCAAGATTTCTTCAATGATGGCTGACCCTATCAGAGAAAATAAAAAGAAAGCTTCCTCTGATGCCAATGAATTTAATCAACTGAAGAAACAAGTTGCTGAACTACAGGCTCATCTTGTACCAGTAGTGCAAGGGAGATGTTTTGAGAAATCTCCAGCTTCTAAAAATTTCCCTGTGAGACACAGACCCAATGTAATGGGACCAGAGATGCATAAAGAGGAAAGACCCACCTGGAACTCTACCAATAGACCTCGTCCTGGTTACTGCTTTCAGTGTGGAGAAGATGGTCATCTAGCAGTCCACTGCAAAAATGCTCCAAACCCCCAAAGAGTTGAAGAAAAGCGCCGTGAGCTGAGGGACAGACAAGCTGCATGGGATCTACAGAATTCTTTAAACTGAGATCAGTCTCAGTTGTGGGGCGAACAGAGACTGGAGGAAACAAACAATGCCCAAAGAAACACAGCTACAAGCAAAATGTTAACAGCACTTCTAAATTACCTGCAAGATTGGTTGGAACAAGATGCACTGCAAGTATTCAAATTGAAGGAAAAGTAGTCAGCTGTCTTCTAGATACCGGATCGCAGGTGACCACAATTCCAATGTCCTATTATAAAAAGCATCTATCCAGACACCCCATGAAGTCAGTGAAGCACCTACTCGAAGTTGAAGGAGCCAACGGCCAGTCTGTACCCTACCTGGGTTATGTGGAGCTCAATTTAAAGTTTCCCAAAGAATTTCTTGGTGTAGAAGTTGAAATCCCGACCCTGGCTTTGATAGTTCCTGATCTAACAACTGTACCTCAAATACTTATTGGCACAAACTCACTGGACGTGCTGTACACCAATTATACTGAAGGAGAAACATCTGCCTGCAAGTCAAACTTTTATGGCTATCAAGCGGTCATAAATGTACTGGAGAAGAGGAACCAACAAGCTTCCATTGAAACTGTGGGATCTGTAAGGTTAAAAGGAAAACAAGAGATAATACCAGCAGGATGCGTTGTAGTGTTGGAGGGAGTCATGCAGTTAAAAAATCCTCTGTTTAAGAAATTGGTGTCAGTGGAGTCACCTATGTCATCTCACTTACCTGGTGGTCTTCTAGTGGCAAACAGTCTCCACACTTTACCTGCAAGGCAACGTGTTGCACAGTTGTCAATTCTGGTGAAAAATGAAACCCAAACTGACCTGATCATTCCATCAAGGGCTATTATTGCTGAAGCTCATGCTGTAGAACGAATCGTAGAGAGAGAAATTTCTAAGAAAAGTGCTGAAAATGAGAAGATGGAGTTAAACGAACAGAAGATCCCAATTGATTTTGGAAACTCCCCACTTTCACCTGAGTGGAAGAAGAGAATAACCTCTGTGTTGAACTCCATGCCTGATGTCTTTGCTTTAAATGATTTGGATTACGGACACACAGATAAAGTAAAACACAGAATAAAGCTTAATGATAAAACACCATTCAAGCATCGAGCTCGTCCAATTCATCCCCAAGATGTGGATGCAGTCAGGAAGCATCTCCAAGAACTGTTGGAGGCAGGTATCATCAGGGAGTCAGAATCTCCATTTTCGTCTCCAATAGTCATTGTACGGAAGAAAAACAACTCTGTGCGCCTGTGTATTGACTTCCGCAAGTTAAACTCCCAGACCATAAAGGATGCGTACGCCCTTCCTAACCTGGAAGAAGCTTTTTCAGTCCTAACTGGATCAAGATGGTTTTCAGTCCTTGATTTAAAGTCAGGCTATTATCAGATTGAGATGGAAGACGCTGATAAGCAAAAAACCGCCTTTGTATGCCCACTAGGTTTTTGGGAATTTAACCGGATGCCACAGGGAATCACAAACGCACCAAGCACATTCCAACGGCTTATGGAACGTTGTATGGGAGATTTGAACCGGAAGGAAGTTCTTGTGTTCATCGACGACCTCATTGTTTTCTCAGAAACTTTGGAGGAACATGAGACAAGATTAATGCAAGTGCTTAAAAGACTTAAGGAGTTTGGATTAAAGCTTTCACCAGAAAAGTGCAAGTTTTGTCAAACCTCTGTTAAATACTTGGGCCACATTGTTTCTCAACATGGAGTGGAAACTGATCCATCTAAAGTAGAAGCCCTAAAAACCTGGCCAAGACCGAATAATCTAAAGGAGTTAAGATCTTTCCTTGGATTTTCAGGGTACTACAGAAGATTTGTGCAAGATTACTCTAAAATAGTAAAACCACTCAATGATCTTACTGCAGGATATCCACCACTGCAGAAGCATTGTAACAAAAAGAGAGATGAGACCAAACAGTACTTTAACCCAAAGGAACAGTTTGAAGAAAGGTGGACTCTGGAATGTCAGCAAGCGTTTGACACTGTCATTGAAAAACTTACATCTGCTCCAGTCTTAGGATTCGCTGATCCAAAGTTGCCATATGTGTTGCACACAGATGCCAGTACCACCGGCCTTGGTGCAGCCCTATATCAAGAGCAAGATGGGCAGAAAAGAGTCATTGCCTTTGCAAGCAGAGGTCTTACCAAGAGTGAGGCGAAATATCCAGCTCATAAGTTAGAGTTCCTGGCGCTGAAGTGGGCAGTCACTGCTAAATTCAATGATTATCTGTATGGAGCTGACTTCACAGTGGTGACAGACAGTAATCCGCTGACATACGTTTTAACCTCTGCCAAACTGGATGCAACCAGCTACAGGTGGTTGTCGAGTCTGTCAACTTTTAACTTTAAAATTCAGTACAGAGCTGGAAACAGGAATCAGGATGCGGATGGTTTATCCAGACGTCCACAAGAAGCAATGCCTGATGATCTAGAAACAACAAAAGAGAGAGAGAGAATCCGACAGTTTGCTTATCATCACCTCACAGATGCGTCAAGTGCAGTTGTTTCATCTGAAGCAATAAAAGCCATCTGTGAACGTCATGAAGTTTGCCAGCCAAACAGTCACACTGATTCCTTGTACCAACCAGTGACCCTTGTAGAATCTCTTGCTGTTGGTGAAAATGTCTTACCTCAATCATTCCAGCAGGAAGAAACTTGTCGATCTGGTGAGATATTCCTTCTGTCAGAGCAAGATTTAAGGGAAAGACAGAGAGCAGATCCAGAAATTGGAATCATTATCAAACACCTAGAACATGAGGAAAAGCCTTGTCTTAAAACCATACCTTCTCATTTAGCCCTGTGGTTAAGAGAATGGAATCGCCTGGTGATGAAAAATGGAGTGCTTTTCAGGAAAAGGAACGAGCAAGGAAGTGAGTCATATCAGTTGGCATTACCTGTTAATCTTCGTGATGTAGTTATGAAGGAACTGCATGATGAGATGGGACACTTAGGCATTGAACGAACCCTTGATCTAGTTCGATCCAGATTCTTCTGGCCTAAAATGTCTTTGACCATAGAGCAGAAAGTGAAAACCTGTGAACGATGTATTCGACGAAAAACTCCTCCTGAGAAAGCCGCTCCATTAGTTAACATCAAAACCAGCAGGCCATTGGAGTTAGTTTGTATGGATTTCCTGTCAATTGAGCCTGACCAAAGTAACATTAAGGACATACTGGTCATAACCGACCATTTCACAAAGTATGCTGTGGCTGTGCCGACGAGAAATCAGAAGGCCCAGACGGTGGCCAAGACTCTGTGGGACAACTTTCTGGTGCATTATGGCTTTCCAGAAAAACTCCATAGTGACCAAGGTCCAGATTTCGAGTCTCGAACGATAAAAGAGTTGTGTAGAGTTGCAGGAATTTCCAAAACAAGAACTACTCCTTACCATCCAAGAGGTAATCCGGTAGAGCGGTTTAACCGGACTCTCCTTCAAATGCTGGGAACTTTGAATACAAAGGAGAAGTCAAACTGGAAGGATTTCGTAAAACCTCTCGTCCATGCATACAATTGCACAAGGAATGATGTGACTGGATTTTCACCATATGAACTTATGTTTGGAAGACAACCCAGATTACCGATTGACTTGGCTTTTGGTTTACCGGTCAGCAGTCAACCTGAATCCCATTCAAAATATGTGCAATCTCTAAAAAATCGTTTGGAAGAGAGCTACATGGTTGCTACTAAAAATGCTTCAAAAGTGGCTGCACGTAACAAGACAAGGTATGACCAACGTGTTGTTTCCTCAACTTTGAATGTGGGTGACCGCGTTCTTGTGAGAAATGTCCGTTTGAGAGGAAAACACAAGCTAGCAGATAAATGGGAATCTGATGTGTATGTTGTAGTCAAGAAGGCTGTTGAGTTGCCCGTCTATACAGTGAAGCCTGAAGGGAAGGATGGACCTCTTCGAACTTTACATCGAGATCTGTTATTGCCTTGTGGATTTCTACTGATGGACAAACCCAAAGAACCACTTGATAAGGAAGTGCCTGTGAAACCCAGAACCAGAGCCAGTTCTGCCAAAGAACTTGAGAAATGTGAATCTCAAAGTGAACATTCAGAAGATGACGATCTAAGTGAGAGCTATGCTCCTGAAAGGACTTTGGAAATTGAAACAAGAATTGTGTCAAATACAAATCCTGTTGCTTGTATCAGAAATCGACAAACAAAGAACTTACCAAGTGTGGAAACTGCGATAGAGCCAAGCACAGAATGTCCTATCCAGCATGAACCCATTAATGACAACTTACCTGAACCTGTGGAAAGAAATATACCATACTTACCTGAAGCTGAAGATCAAGATCTCCTATGTGAATCTGAAAGAGAAAATGTAGAGGAATTAATTAACCACCAATCTACAGAGAATGAAATAAATTATATTTCTTCACAAAAGGACCATACCCCTTGCCAGAGTCCTCTGATAGATCAAGATGAAATGCCTCAACCTGAAAAAACTCAAAGACGCAGTCAAAGATCCCATGAACCCCCCAAAAGACTTCAATATCCTCAGTTGGGAAATCCTCTCAGTATGGTGATCCAGTCCTTGCTATCAGGCCTGAGCACAGCGTTTACCAACTCCCTGGAAGAAAACCTGGAACAGTTTAATAGTGTGCCCACCATTGTGACTGTTCAACCCCAGATGCAGAGGGACCTGCATGCATTCAGGAGGGGAGAGTGTAACCCAGCTCACTGACTAGGTCACTAAAACAAATTATAAATAGTTTATTTTAAATTATAACATTTTATTTTATGATTGTGAGGAGAAATATTAAATAGTTCATTTATATTTTATACATAGTGTTTAAATAATAATAAATAGAGAATAAAGTAAGTTTTGACTTGGTGGAGGTCGGAGGTTAGCTCCGCCCCCTTGCGTGTGTGTGAGAGCTGCCGGTGACGGAGAGTCACTTTGATTAATCAGCGCGAGCAGATTGAACAACATTAGACACTGTGAAACAGAAGTTTAGATAATCCAAACGATCTAAAAATCATATTGTTTCGGTGATTGACTGAGAAAAGCCCTAAAGTTTCAGATTTTAAGGATAGGAAGCTGACAACAAGCAATAGA